CCCTGAGTGTCACTGGATCCCAACCATCTTTCATGAATACATGCCTAAAGCATCCTAAGAGCCATCGTCACAGAGCAACAATCAAGCAAATGACACTCTTTAGAGCGTCTTATTAGGACAGCCAAGAAAGACGCATCCTATACACTTGATGCAAAATGAAGAATACGATTGCCCACAGCAGGTGGGGAAAACAGCTCTTGAGAGGGAGAGAATACTAGCTTCTTTCAGCTTAGTCATTTCATGCTGGTAAGGCAGCATGACCTATGTTGACGTTTTCATGCGGACCTCAGACCTGGTATCAAAGGCAAGGCTGTAAATGTCATCTGCATTATCTCATGCAATGTAACAATCCAATCTGTGCTAATTCATTCTTAACAGGCAGTCAATGGTTAGATAAGGAACACTTACAGTTCATCAGTTTTCATCTTAGGTAGCTGATAGTTACACAGTTCTTCCTGATGTTGATCTAATACTTCCCTCCCTGTTAACTTTGAGGATGCTGACTTTCTGATTTACCTCTGGTCTACTCTGAAAAAAAAAAAAAACTTCACAAAAGGACCAGGCTGTGCTGAGACAGAAGCAGCTACTACTCTCGTGATAACTGCATTAAAAGGAGGCCTTGTTAAGAAACAGAACAAGTTCATGTCTGTTTACTGCCCGAAAAAAATGATACATGGCACAACACTTCATCAGTGACAGAGTATGTCAGACAGTCCGCAGGGTTGTTAGTGTATCAGTAGAAGGAGGCACTGCTCTCCACAAACGAAATGTAGTAAGAAAAATGGTTAAAGCCAGAGAAAAAAGACAAAGAGGAAGACTAACAATTAGTAACCTGTAAAGACTGAACTGGTGGGAATTGCTGACATCCTTATCAACAACCTTACCCTGTACCGACACCCCAAATAAACGGACTATTTTTAGTAAGGAGACAAGGGTAGTGTAAAGTCTGGCTCCTCTCTGCTAGGATCAAGTCCAAGAGACAAGCTGGTCCACAGGCCACTTAGAAGGTTTTCCAAGAATAGGCCTCACTGTCAAGCCTGAGAAGCGCAGCATCAGAGAAGCACTGTCAGAAACCTTTTATTTCTCCTGCTATAAGACATAATGTAAGAAGGTTTTAAAATTCTTGGGGTTGCTGATGGCTTCTGAAAAGAACTGAGCTCAAGAACCTTAACATTCTACCTACACTAGACCTATCTGAGCTAGCTGCAGTTACATTTAGCTACAAAGCATTCCCTAGAGAACAGGCAGGGGTGGGGGCTGGGGTATGTCTGTTTGGAAAGAGTCTGCAGTATGCATGTCTCAGGGCCAAGGGCAACCCAGGTCACACAGGTACTAGCCACCTCCAGACAAGAAACCCAAACACATAAAATTTGTACCACTGGATATTTCCAGAGAGAGAAGCAAGAGGCTGGGGGGAGACGCACACACAGAATTCTCTTTCAAAACTTAACTTGGAGCCTGGCTCAGTGGGCAAAGGCTTTTGCTGCCAAGTCTGAAGACCTGAGTTTGATCCCTGGAGCTTCCATGGTGGAAGGATATAAGTGACTCCTGAAAGATGTCCTTTAGACTCCACACATACAACATGGTACCTGTCTCTGTGTGTGCATGCACACACACAGTAATAAATGTAAAAACAAAACAAAAACACCCAAAACTAAATCAAACCAAAGAAAGTGAGGGTGAAGGAGAGGGAGAGACGTGAGTGGACAGGAGTGCTGGGGTGGGATGTGGGGCAACGTCTTCCTGCAGGAAAACGTCTTCCTAGCTCACTGTAATTAGTTAGTTTGTTGCTGGTGACTGACAGAGGAGTGGATGAGAGTGGATTAGAAATGAAGACCATGCCTACATTTTCCAAGAGTCTTCAAAATACATAATAATCAGGGGCTGGAGAGACGGCTCAGCAGTTAAGAACAGTGGCTGCTCTTGAAGAGGACCTGGGTTTGGTTCCCAGAACCCATGAGGCAGCTAACAACTTTCAGCAACTCTTGTTCCAGGGGATCCGACACCCTCTTCTGGCCTATGCAGGCTTTGCACGACCCGGGTGCACTTACATGCAGGCAACACACTTATGCACATAAAAAAATAAAAGCATCTTTTGTTCTTAGCCTGCAGAAACAGCAAGCCAATGCTGTCTTGTTTCTCTAACTGTTCCACCACCAGGGTTCTCTTTGCTTCTGTTTCCACTTGATACCTTCAAACGGCCTGCCCTGGTTTCTGAGCTTTGCTCCCTAATTCACTGTGACCACAGGCCCCTGACCTCTCTCCCTAATTCACTGTGACTTCAGACCCCTGACCTCTCTCCACCACCAACCTCAAGCAGCCGGCATCACTGCTTTGCAGGACAAACCTACACTTCCTTAAACAGATTTCTACTTGCCCTTCAAAGGTATCCAGGCTCTCTTCTCAAGCACTGCCAGGAAACCTCTTCCAGCATTTCTTGCAGCTTCTCAAGGTGAAGAACGTTAAAGGCCTCCACTTTATTTTTTATTATGGGTATAGTTTACTTGTGTGTGTGTATGTGTGAATGTGTGTGAATGTGTGTGTGTGTTTGTGTGTGAATGTGTAAGCTTCCAAGAAAAATTTATACTTACAGACAAAAGATTTATATATAATCCAGTCACATACAACGGAGAGGAAAAACAAGAAGAAGATGTAATGGTGATGGTTGCCAAAACCTAAATTGGGAAGAAACAAAACAAACTTAATATTGTTTTTTCCTAATGACTTCCCAGTCAAGACCACTCTTCTGTGAAAAGCCTTCATTAAAGTGAAACAGAAACAAGGCAGTTGCTTTGCTTTCAAATACTACTAAACCCAGACCAAACACATCTGATATGAGTCAAATGTCCTTGCTAACTAATATTTGCTATTTGCTTTAAAAAAGATATCTTGAATAGAACAAAATTAACAGGGAAAAACAGTTTGGGGCTGGCCTACACTGCTGGAGGGAGGGAGCTGGCAAATCATTATTTGGGGTCTTCTCCATGGAATGTAAGTACAATCTATGAACAGCAAAGATTAACTTGCCAGGGAACAGAGAAAACATCTGGAGAGCAGCGGTACTCACACACCATGTGGACATCGGACGTGGCCAAGGGAAGCCACAGCCCACGGCGGAACTGCAGAAGGAAGGGGTGAGGGGTTCCAGGCGACCAGACCCTCTGGCAGGTGGAGACTGCTTAAGCCTGGATGGAAGCATTTTGATGCCAACAGCACAAATGCTCTTTGGGTACCACCACATCATGGTCCTATGTTCTCCAGAAGCAGCAACATCCGGTACCATTAATGCCCACTGCAATCGGGTAAGCCAGGCTGAGGGGTTATAGTTCTGTTACTGTAGACTGTCACCTGATTTCTCTGAGCCAACGTTCTTACTTGTAACAGCAAGAGAAGACAATCCCTCTCTTACTTCACAGGCCTCTGGTAACCGACCAGGACGATGCATGTGGTGATACTGTCCAATTAGTGTGGTACCCAGACGGGCCCATTGCTAGGTCTCACTGCTGCTGTTCAATGCCACCTGGAATGGGGCCAGGAGGACTGGGACCCCAGGAATCATAGAGCCACATTTTCTAGGAGAATCCACCCCAGGAGCCTCAAGTTCCTCAGGATTATGAAAACAGACCCCTGGGGAAGATCACAACTCTTGTGCACAACCACAGCTCCTCTGACATTCCTTGTGACAAACCGCTGGCTTTTACTGGGATGGATCAGAGGGAACTCGGGGTGGCAGGGGAGGACAGGGAGCATACCCTGGGTGGAAGGCAAGCCCCAGACCTCTGCTACTTCTGGTTTTATCTCCTACCTGAACACTGAAGGAGGCAGGTGAAGAGAACACAAGGAAAGAGTAGAAGATACTAAGATGATCTTAAATGTTTACATCGTTTAGTTCTAAAATGCAGAGCAACACCAACTTCACACGTGTGCTCTGATGATCAAATCAGACACTAGGTATGAAAGTCTTTCATAAACTCTAAAATACTACACAAAGACAATCACTGTGTTTAGCCATAAAGATGATTCTCAAAGAAGAGCTACAAAATGGAGCCCTTGCTGGCCTTCCACTTTTTTCTCAGTTGCACACATGCTGGACTTCCCAGAATAAAATGAAGAATTAAATCTCTCACCTATGCACCGTCCAGTCCAAAAGCAGTGCTGATCAAATCGAGCCACACAAGAGTTGCACACATGGCAATGGAGTGACCGTAAAGGCTTCCTTATCTAGGGGGCAAGTAGGAGAGGCCCAAGCAAAACACAACCTTTGTCAACAAATCGTGAGTAAAATTTTAATCTTAAGTCATAAAACACTGGCACAAATAATCCTAAATAGATGATTTACTCACAGAGGCTCTGAAATGCCTTCCTAATATCTGTCTCTCTATATAAGAGTAACTAGATTTGAATTCTAGAGACAACGCCACTGGCTGAGGGGGACTTAGGCAGGAATGGACAAAGAACCAGCACTGAACTAAGGAAACAGAAGCCTGAGCTCCACCCTGGGCTCCTCCAACAATTCACCCCCCTCTCCCAGGCCTTGACTCCTTGGCTGCAAAGCCAGAGGTTGCAATGGTAATTCTAGGTCATTATGTGCCTCTGACTTAGGTTAGTTCTCACATATGTTTCATGACAGGGGAAAGCAAACAAAAAGCACTACAGATAATTTACAGAGATTTAACCATGGGCAACTTCACAAGGTTATAAACATTCTTCCACTCGTTCATGGCAGAGAACTGTTCTGACAGTAACACAAAATTAGAACCAGGTAAAAACAAGTATATAAAAATGTCATCACGATTTGACAAATGCTTACATAAGCAGTGTTACCTAGAATTTTATTTTACTACGGAAAACAAAATATTATATGGAAAAGACTCACAAGACATGATGTACAAAATGTTCTGAAGTCCAGACAGCCAGTTTCTGCAAGGGTGATGATATTCTGAAAGACATGAAGCTCGATCTTAGAACGCACCCAACTGGGACGTGCTATGGTGGTTGTGCAGCTGTGAACCTACCACAAAATCATTCTGCACCTGGAATAATTTGAGTTTTCAAGGCTGTTTCTTTCAACCAATAGACAAGAAATCTGACTGCATAAAAACCCTACTCTCCTACCTCCCTTACCACCTTTTTCATGAGTGGCATGCATCTCTCATTTATAATCTTCTAGGGGAAAAGAGATATACATGCATGTACATTTGTCAAAAGAGAAATGAAAATCACAAATAAACTTCCAAACCAATGGCAATAAGCACCAAAGGTTGAATTTCTCAGGCCTGGCTTTAGGCAACAACAGACAAGATTCTCTCTAACTTCAAAACATTCAGGAGCAGTTGGAAAGGGTGCCATGACCTCTGAGGAAGAAAAGGGGGTATTTCCTCAGTTAGCTCCTTCCTCGTTATGCTTCAGGCAGAGGCACTCAAGACAAATGACTCCTATTTAATTATAAGGACGAGGATGATCTAATAACAAAAACCAAGTCTGAAAAAGTCTGGTGGGTATCATATTTATAGAAAATAGATGATTCTAGGGGGTGGAGAGATGGCTCAGTGGTTAGGGGCAACAGCTGCTCCTACAGAAGACCGAAGTCTGGTTCCCAGCACCCACATGGCCACTAATAACTGTCCATAGCTCTAGTTCCAGGGGATCTGATGCCTTCTTCTGACCTCTGTGGGCATTGCACAATATGGGTCTGGGCACTGCATAACGTGGGTGCACTTAAATACATGTAATACACTCATACACATAAAATAAAAACAAATATTAAAAAGGAAATAGATAATTCTAAAAACTCATACAGAAATGAGAACATATAACTCAAGAAACCCCATTTTTGCTGATTTAATCACTTCACATTTATGTTGTAACTACTAGGTGGCAGGCACTACAGACACAGCTGTGCCCCAACAGACTCTCACAATTTATTTACTTTGTGACTAAAAAATAAACAGAAGCTATTACAAAAGAGAACTCACCACTTTCCTGTCTTCTGCAGAAGCCTTACTGAAACCTGGGTCAGTTGCCCAAGTCTTGTAGAAAAAGTAGAGAAAGGCTACTAGGCTGAAAATGAAAGGAAAACAAAAACGGCCACCTCCTACATGTTGAGGCATGTTAGGGAACATATCAAACTCCTGTTAAGATGAACATTATGTGATATAAGCAAATGTTATCACCGGTACCTATGAACCTCTCTTTTTTGCATCCTGCTCCCAGTTTCCTTCTGTATAAACATCTTCCAAAGTGGCCCGTTCCGTATTCTAACCCTACTGGAGCTGCTCCTAGTTAGTTAATACCTAGTGCTTCCTCATTAGTTGAAACCCATGTTCAATACTGACAAAACACAATCACCCTGAAGACTGAAACTATCCAAGCCCCCCAAATTAAAGGCTTAATTGTGGTTTCCTTAGAACATCCAGGAAATATTCTCTTGTCATTTTTACAAAGTCCTTCACAGAAAGAAAAGATTTGGTTCAGAGATTTCAACTTAATGTATTTTCCTATGAAAATTTCTTATGGAAAGTTTAGTAACCAGTCCTTTTAATTGTTTTGGGCTACATTAAGATGTTGACCTTGGGGGCTGGAGAGACGGCTTAGTGGTTAAGAGTACTGCCTGCTCTTGCAGAAGACCTGGGTTCAAATCCTAGTACCCACATGGCAGCTAACAACTGTCTATAACTACAGTTCCAGGGGATCCGGCAGCCTCTCGTGTCCTTGGGTACACTTACATTCATACAGGCATAACATTCATATACATAAAATAAAAAAATTAAAATAAAAAAAAAACAAAACAAAGCCAGGTGTGGTGGCGCACGCCTTTAATCCCAGCACTTAGGAGGCAGAGGCAGGCAGATATCTCCCTGTGAGTTCAAGACCAGCCTGATCTACACAGCGAGCTTCAGGCCAGCTGGGGCTACAGGGAGACCCTGTCTCAAAAAAATAAACACCGCCCCCCGGCAAAAGAAAGAAGCTATCTTGCAAAATGAGTGAAAATTGTATACCATTTGGGAAAGGCAGATATTATGAATAAAATAATATTAAAAAACTACTTCATGGATAAACATTGCCCACTTTAAATGTTTTTAATTGGCCCAAGTTCCTCCCATACAAAGTAAATCTTTGCTCCAGGGAAGAAATGAATATAGTAGTAAGTCAATGAACCTGCCTCAAGTTGAGGATTATTGGCCACAGCAGCTCCATTTGCCATACACGGTGTTGCCAAGAGTGACAGCTAATCTTGGCTGTCAACTTGACTAGATCTGGAATTAACTACAAAGTGAGACTTTCTTGATCAGGTCCTCTGAAGCCAGAAGGCCCACCCCGAATGCAGGCAGCCCCTTGTGGTGACAGCACATACAGAAGGACACGGCAGAGGGACCTTGTGCATTTGCCTTCTCTCTGCAGAGTTCATCTACCCTGCTGCTGTGGCATCCCTTTGCCCATATTAGAACCAACTTCTTTGGATTCCAACACAGAATGAAGACCAGCAGACCTCCAGAAATCCTCCAGCCCTTCAGTGCCAGATTGGGACTGCTGAGACACCCAGCCCTGTAGACTGAGCAACTACCAGATTCTCAGCCTCTCCAGTGTGGCGCAGCCATTGTTGTTACACTGGGACGCCATCCTGTAAGGCAATCTAACAAATCCCCATATATATTCATTTGATCAGTTCTGCTCCTTTAGAGAACCCTACCACACCAAGCTATCTTGTATTAAACTTCAGAAAAGAAAAAGGAGGCCGTAACCTAGGCTCTAAACTTTTGCTATTCAAAGTGTAGCCAATACCAGTAACACCAGCTTGTTAGAAAAACTGAACTTTGAGCTGAGTATGGTGGTGCATGCCTCTAATGCCCACACCTGGAAGGCTGAGGCAGGAGGTCTTTGAGTTGAGATCAGCCTGGGTTACCAGGGGTTTCCAGGCTAGACTGAGCTACACAGTAAGACACTATCTCAACAAACAAAAATGAAATGAATTAGGGAGAGGGAGAGGAAGGCAGGCAAGCAAAGATCAGCTCAACTCAGACCTCAGGCCACATACAGCTCCAGAATGGGTTTAAGGAGATCTCCACTGGCTTCGTCCCACATTGAAGGCTGAGAAGCACTTATCTAACCCAGAGACCAGCACAAACACACAGGGATCAGACAGGCAGAACAAATCCTGTTATCACAATTCATACAAATTGGAGCTTGTTTTAGGAAGAGCTAGAGACCAGGTAAGTTGTGTGAAAGAGAACAAAGTTTACTTAGAACAAAGAGGTACGCTTCTAAATCATACACAGGGTAAGACCTTTTGTTAGAGAATCAGATCTATTTTCTTCCATTAAGTCCTGATCAGTTCACGTGATACATGCTCAAAAGTGCATTCAGTTCAGTTATAGGGTGATCGTGCACAGTAAGATGACTGAATTTCCATTTCCCACTCTGATTAACTTTTAGACAAATCCTAGGAGGATCACTGGATCCTCTCCTAAATAAAGGGAACTGCACTCTAACCCCTCACATAAGGCAAGCACATTCCTGGCTTCCGTGGTAACCACAAACGCTCTCCACTTCCTCTTACTTTAGGATGTCCAAGTCCTCACTGTCCACAAGACTTAACTTGTAGTCTCCCTCCTGATGTCTTTCGCCCTTTCCTGAAACCATGAATGCTTTCTCTATGGTGTTCACAGCCTAGATTACAGTTTTTCACAGGCGGCCCCGATGAGCTGATAACTCTATTGCAGATATAGAGCTAAGCTTTGCTCTTCTGTAACACACCAACTGGCTTTCATTCTTTGGATCCTGTGGTCCGCACCACTGCTGTCCTTCAGATTTACCTTACAATGCTTATTCTTATGTTTGCTCAATACATTTATTTACTTTTGAATGGCTCTAGAGCGCACTGGTTTTCAAATGAGATTTCCCAACCCTTGAAATTGGGAGGTAGCGATCACATCTCCATGACAACACTGTTCCTCACACAACAGTTTACTGGTTGTGTTCCTTTGTTTGTGGTCCTATTTTCCATTATTTTCAAAAGAACAGATTTCAAGATGGCAACACACTATGGGTATATCCTGACCAGGGCAGAGGACAGTGACCTGCTTTGCTTCGACATGCAAGTCCTTTTAATAGTACATGGGAACAGGGTAGCTTCCTTGACATCTGAGTCACCAGCCACACGGGGACTCACTCAAAGCTCCTGATTCTCTCTGTACTCTTTTCTTCTTCCTTTCCTCCCTGTTGTGGTGCTGAAATCAAACCAAAGGGCTTGTGCTGAGCTTGAACTCATTTGTAGCCTTACACTCTCTTCACACTTGCTGTGGGAGACTGAAGTTTGATTCCCTGACAGGGAGGAATGTGATCCATTACACCAGGCATGGTTAAGCACATTCAGCATGCAGGAGGCAGAGGTAGCCAGATCTCGGAGTTCAAGTCAGTCATGGCTACACAATGAGTTCCAGGCCAGCCAGGGCTATACAGTAAGACCCTGTCAAACAAACAAACAAACAAACAAACAAACAAACAAACACAAACGCACGCATGCACGCACACACTCATGCACCAAGAGAAAGGATCTGAAATTTAGACTCTCTCTGCCTGGTACCAAAGCCCACGTGCCTTTCTCTAGTACCCTTGGTTCTCTTCCCATAAGAGACCACAGGCTGTGGGACAGACGCCCTCAGTCAATTCCACCTGGCAGTCTAAGCAAGACTAGTCTAAATATCTGGGATAGGTCTTTACCAGGCAGTACCTCAGCTGATCCACAAGGCTTAGAAAACACTGAACTGTTGGTACAGTATGCCATCTACTGACTTGCATGCCCTCAAAGCAGGAGGTTCAAACAGGTCCTCCATCAAGTGGCTTCATGTTGTACGTGTGAGTGAAAAATTCCATTCTGTTCATTGTAACACCTTAAGTCTACCTAGCTATCAGTTCTCCTAATATAGTTTGCTTCTCCATTGCTCTGATAAAATACTCTGGCCAAAACCAGCTTGGTAAGAAAGGGTTTATAGCCGGGCGTGGTGGTGCACGCCTTTAATCCCAGCACTCAGGAGGCAGAGGTAGGCAGATCTCTGTGAATTCAAGGCCAGCCTGGTCTACATAGTGAGTTCCAGGACTGCTGGGGCTACAGGGAGACCCTGTCTCAAAAAGACCAAAAAAGACCAAAAAAAAAAAAAGAAAAAAAGAAAAAAAGAAAGGGTTTACATAGCTTATACTTCCCTGTCCCAGTTCACCTTGAGGAACTCAGGGCAGGAACCTGGAGGCAGGAATTGAAGCACAGACCATGGAGGAACACTGCTCACTGGCTTGCTCCCCTGGTCTGTGCTCACCTGCTTTCTTATATAATACAGGACCACCTTCTCAGGAGTGGCACCATCCACAATGGGCTGGGCCCTCCCAAATGACTCAATAATTAAGAAAATGCCTCACACACATGCCCCCAGGTCAAGTCAATAGAGGAAATTCCTCAATCAAGGTTCCCTCTTTCCAGGCATGTCAAATTGACAACTGAAGCTATACAGCAGTTCTCACAAAACAATATCCATTGGCCATTCTGTTCCTTTCCTAGAAGGATAATACTACCAAATACCATTTCTATAGTCCCAGGTAGATTGTCAACAGAATCAAGTACATCCAACATGAAGCATTCAGGCAGAATCAGTAAATGAGTGCAAATACAAGAGGCCTTCCCCAGATCTTTTACAGTATCTAAATGGTAAACCATGGCATTACTCAGTCTCCCTAGCCTTGAACTTATGGCCACCCTCCTCCTTTAGCCTCTGAACGGCTGGGATGACAGGGATTCAACACCTTGGTTGGTACTACTGTTTTTTCAAGGTAAAATGAGATATGTATTTAATTTAAACTTAAAGGATATCAGGAAAGAATATCATGAACCAAGTCATAAATATCCAAAAAACGGAACTTAGCAGAAAGACTGTTGGTAAGTACACAAGGTTCTTATAGCCGACCAAGAACCTAAAAGAAAAAGGATGAACACAGGGCATTAGTGAAGTAAGGCACTGCGATGATTCATGTTAACTTCAGTTCTACAGTCCCCAGTAAGAATGAGAGCAATACCAGCAGCCACGGTGCAATTTTCAATTCCCAACCAGTATGTGCTGCTTTCCATGTGGTGACAGCTATGCACCATCATGACGCCACCTTTCATATGCAAAAACTAAATTACAATGGTTTTCAGAAGTGTACATACTAGTTCTTAGGCTGCTCATAAATACTTCATAATAGCAATATATTTTCAATGAAACTTTAGTACTTCTAGTGTGATGTATATTTTTTCTCGTATTATAATTTATTAATATGTCAAAATGCAAAAATATAAATACTTGGGAGATTCACATTTATGTTTAACAGGCTTTCTTCCAGAGGGCAGCTCTATGTTTATGAAATACACACAACCTTGAGCTTTTGCTCTGAACCAGCTTGAGGAACAGTCACGTGGAAACATATAAAGACTCTATCTAAGTGACTCTA